AATCCAACAGAGTAATTTAACTTGATCCAATTGCTCCCAGGCATCGCCCCCATTCACATAGCAAGAAGAAAAAAAAATTGAAATCAACGTCGGGATAAGAACTTACTAGGAGTACTTATAGATGGATGTTCGGCATTTGAAGTTCTGTCATTTGAAGTTCTGTCATTGGTGACTAGTACCTTATTTAGTCCTGTAATAAAGAAACAGCACAACATCCACAATTAATCAGATGTAATTTCTTCCTCAATACTTAATCTGCTCCAGTGAAATCTTGAAAATGAAGAAGTGTTCTTTCAAGTATGACACAAAAAACACTTCAAAAGTTTGTTGAAATCCATCTTCCAGAGGAATCTAGGGTAGCACATAATATTGGACTTGGCAGTATGCAGGGATGTCAAAAGCATATTTGTATACCGGGTGCCATTCATGACAATTTAGTTTTCAACCTTAACAAATATTTGTCCTTCGCTACCAATGCCCAATTTCACATTTTCTAAGCTGGAATGGTAGAAATATCTGCCTATTTTATTTTGAACTTGATCTGTGGTTGGTGTTCCTGCCCACTGTAGCTCAATCCCGGACAATACATTGATTAAATGCACTAAGGAAAATGGAAGGCAAACATTTCTTAAGGAAAGAAAATATGATGGTAGACTCACTAGCAGCAAGTTCAACTATCATGAATTCAGGGAGCAACTAAGCTCACAATAGACATGTCTGTGGGAAGAATTATCGAAGTAGTAGTATGTAAAATGTAAATGTTAGCATTTTGTGCTTTGGTATGGTGTGTTGTAAGTCACAGGACCAGATAATATTAACTTTTATAAGTAGAGGCACTACGAACCGTGAGTCGCGAAGCGGCTCACCGCCTATAATCACTGGTCTAGCTTTAGTCGTTGTTTTTTTTATTATCGACCATGAATCCGTGGCAGTTTTCGTACGAAAAACTGCCACGGATTCATGGTCGATAATAAAAAAACAACGACTAAAGCTAGACCAGTGATTATAGGTGTGTGCGCGGCTCACGGTACGTAGTCTCGCCGTATCAGACGTTCTGCTTAAGGTTAGTCTAGCAGCAAAAGAAAAAAGCTCGGCACTCCGCCTAGATTATAGGCTAACATGACCCAAGTTTGGCAGGAATATATAACGCGATCACAAGCTATTTTTGAAAACATAATGAGCCCTGTGACCTTTGACCTTCAAACTCGTGACCCCAAAATCCAATCAGCTCATTGGCTCTGTAAGATACATACATGACCCAAGTTTGGCAGGAATCTATTGACCGGTACTTGAGATAACGCGATCACGAGCTATTTTTGCATACATAATGAGCCCTGTGACCTTTGACCTTCAACCTCATGACCCCAAAATCTAATCAGTTCATTGGCTCTGTACGATACATACATGACCCAAGTTTGGCAGGAATCTATTGACCGGTACTTGGGATAACGCGATCACGAGCTATTTTTGCATATATAATGAGCCCTGTAACCTTTGACCTTCAACCTTGTGACCCCAAAATCTAATCAGTTCATTGGCTCTGTAAGATACATACATGATCCAAGTTTGGAGGGAATACATCAATTGGTTCTTGAGATAACGCGATCACGAGAACGGGACGTACGGACGGACGGACGGACGGACGGACAACCAGAAAACATAATGCCTCCGGCTACTTTGTAGCGGAGGCATAAAAATTAAAGGGAAATATAATTGCCTCAATAGTCTTATTAACAAATTTCATCCCATTTGTGGGAAGGGGGGTAATTAATATTCCATGACAGCTGCTCAACCGCTGCAGATCGCGACTTGCCTTTTCATGACTTTTGCCTCTTTTAAGTTTCTCGCAACTCTTGCAACAAATCATAAAAATAAAGCGATACATGAGAAATAAAAACAATAGAATAGATCAGAAATTAGTAAAACAATAGAATAGATCAGAAATTAGAAAAACAATAAGAATACTAAGGTATAGATTTGAAATTTGATTTCTTTTTTTTAATACAAAATTGTTGACTATGCTACTCAGAACTTTTGACCTTCATAAAAGAATCCAATATGTAAAAATTGTCATCTAATTATTTGCCTAAATTGTGATGAACTAATAAATAAATGACTGTAACAGTGTACTTCATATGCATGTCAATATCTGTGCAAAATTATCAAAAGATGATGAAACTTACTTGCAACTAGAAGACGTGGTGGTGTTGGGAGGTTTACTTGTTCTTCTTCACTTTCCGAGATTGTGTCACGACTGTTGTCCATGATCATTTCACAGTCATCATCGTCATCTTCATCTATGTATTTGGAATTCTTCCTAAAATATAAATTTCGCAACATGCGTAAGCTGGTGAATATTTCATTAAAGAAAAAAATGCATGATCTATTATATGTGACCCAATAACAGGCAATTGTCAGCAGAGACTTTCTATTTCATTGCACGAGTGGCTAATGAGCTTTAATTTAATGTATCACTTAGTTACAATTTTAAAGAACAGGTCATCTATAGACTTTTAAAGTGGAAACTTCAAACAATTTTTTCAAAATGTGTTTGCTGTTGCTGGATTTAATTGCTAAGTATCTCTAGTAATATATTTCAGATCTAAACATTAACTCAGTCAATTCCACCTGCTACCTGGCCCTGCACTAGAAAACTTATTTTTAGAGGTACTTATCACAGACAAGAATTCACGACTTTGATTAATCTATGCAATATATTGGAACCTACTTCCTCTTCCGCTTCCTGATGCTTAAATCCTCCTCAGAATCGCTTGGGTTGCTAGTTGCGACCAATTTCGTGCACCTTCTGTTGGCACGATCCCATGACTCTGTAAAGCAAAAAAAACACAAAAACATCCTCATCAAATTAGATCAAGTACTGTAGATACAGAGAAATTTGATCCCCCCCCCCCCATGCTTTTCAGTCTTATTGAATACTTGCCACACATAATACAAAACTTAACAATATACTTAAAGTTGAACTTGTGATTTGAGGTCATATGACATAGCACAGAATATCCCTGACCACCATACTTTATTTATTTGTTATTTATTTATGTTATGTTATTTCATTTTTTTTTTGGGGGGGGGGGGGGAGGGGGGGGGTACCAATTGCATAGTGAATCTTCTAATATCAAGAAAATTTATTCTTGTATTGTATTCATTACATTTAATACAGGATTATAACAATTATACACTAAAATGTTTCTTTACCTGTGGTAAGCCACTCCTTTTTAACTGGGAAAGATTTCCACAGGTCCGTTGGAGGTTCTCCTTTCTTAGCAGCCTTTATCACCCGTGGTGCAGTGTAATGCTCCGGGTACAGGAAGCAACCATTCCCTTCTGTGTCCCTCCAGGTTTCTGGTACGACTTCTAGAGATGTCTCTCCGCTCCCAGCCTCCTTCTCAAATTCTACTATCACGTAGTTCAATGGCATTATCTTTAAAGATTTTGAGAAGTGACAAATTTGTTGTGATACTGTGATTTTAATTGTACACTTACATTAAAATGTGTATGTACAGTAATTGTAGTAAAAGTATTCTCTTTCCCACTCATCTTCAACACAATTTCTAAGTCATTTCTATGCTTCTGATAATAATACTTCCAACTTCATGGACTAAAGGATACACTGTAGCTTCACAGCAGATTGCTGATCCCTGTACACAAGCAGTGAGCAAGATACGCAAGCCAAATTACTGGAAATTGGGGGGGGGGGGACCATAGGCCTGTTTTCATCAGCTTGAGATTGCCGCTATTTAAACTATCCCAATCGCAAATTATCCAGCTAATTTGGGTCTTCATCAGCCTGCAGTTGCAATTAGCGGGATATTTTGTCGAGATATTTTGTCGAGATATTTTGTCGAGATATTTTGTCGAGAGCCGACAGCCCAGAGATATGGCTAGTGCAAAATGTCATCATCAATATCTACCCGACAGCTCAAAGAAAAAATATATATTTTTGATAGATCTGTCAAGTCTCAAACACTTCTTAACTATCCTTCACTAAATGCAGCTAGATGTATTCAATCATTAATAAACAAATTGCATCTAGATGTATTCAATCATTAATAAACAAATTGCATAAGAGTTCATTGATACAAGAGTTGCGTTACTGTACAAACTACAGAAGATTCTTGTAAGTAATAATCTGAACTCAGACAGAAAATTCAACAAAACTGGTGGACAAGGGGCACAAGTACAAATGATTCCTTATAAGGAATTCGGTACAACTTGCAAACAATTTCAGATAGCTTTTCGGCTTTCAGAGTATCAGATAATCGACTGACTTTCACAATCCCAAGGTCTGAAGAATCCAGTGGGCGCTGGAAAAAGTTGTCAACCCTCATAAATTGTTGAAACATCACCATCACAGTCAAATTCTGTGGATCCTGAATAATGTTTCTTATCAGCCCGTATCGTGAACCAATTTGAATGCAACTGTCACTGTCCTTTGCTGAAAAGTAAAGGCCATTGAATTGTACATATCTGTGCTGTGTTAAGTGCCTTTTGTGGGCAAGGAGGATTGGACCGTCTGTATGCTCAGGCCCCAAACAAAAGTCATTCGACTTTTTTTCATCCTTTCCTCCTATTTTATTCTCAGATAGTCTTCGTATCACTTGAGGTAGACACCTATGCGGTTTACGTACCACTTTTTTCAATCTCCCAAGAAAACTTTCAAACGGGAAGGCAGAATACGAATCGAGAGGACCGAATTTCTTGGCATCAGCTGCCAAATGTGTTAGCCCATGGACATTATATACAAGCATATCTCGCCCATACAAGCCTGCCCACATTTTAACAAATGTGTCAAGCAATTCCTTAACATAGTCACAATATGTCGGCAAGTACAATGAACTGGATAAACAATATATTGAAACAGATAAGAGAAGAAAATGGAGATAAACATCATCTGAGAGTTTACCTTTCAATACGACAGGTCCACTGTAAATTATAAATTGGCGCAATTCAGTAGCTTTCCACCTTTCAAATTCACTTAGAGGTCGACACTTCCTTGGAAATTCCCGAGGAACAAATGGTCGACAAGATAGAAGACAATCTGAAATTTGTCTACGCATATTTGCACTGATTCGACATCTAATTGGTCCTTTGGTCCAGCTCCAAATTAGCCTTTTCACAACACCTAGATGAACAAGGTGCATTGGATCAAGCGGAAATTGGGAAACTAATCCAACTGATAACTCAGAAATTGGAGATTTGTTATTATGGTGTTCTTTCTGCACCATATTTTTGAAAGCAGAATCAGTTCTCAGTGGCGAATCAGTTTCAGGAAAGATAACTTTGTTTGACCAGTCACCTTTCTGTACACATTTATCACAGCCATAGTACGCGTTGTGTGGCTTTGTCTGCTTCACAAATGCACGAGCAGGAGCATCACAAATGAAGCATGCAATCGATATGGGAATGAGATCATTTGTGGACTTAATCATAACCCCGCCCGATTCTTCTAGGCCTTTCATCTCAGAGACAAATTGGGTCAAATAATGTTGAACACTATGTGGCTTACTCTCTCCACAATATAAGCCTATTATGAATGTTTCACTTTCAAAAGGCATTGATATTCTCCCTAGTATTGGCCAAAATTGAGTTTTAGAACTTTTAAAGAGAGGTAAACCATCAATATTGATCTGGAGATTGATTCTGGTAGCATCTTTTGTAGCTATACAAATTTCTGATATCCTATTAATGCCATCTGCAACACCAAAGTGGTAATACTCTCCCCCAGCAATATTTGTTATTTCATAGTCGGTAACAGTTTGAAGGAGAGTCCTAGGATCTTTGGGCAATTCAGGGTGATACTTGCGCAATACTGACATCAATCCACGCAGTTTTGATTGAGGAATTTGGGCGACAGCTGCCCAATTTGCAAGGTCACTTGAAAGCTTCTGTGTGTCAAAATCAAAATCATCATGATCACTTTCATCGGAGCACGAGGCCGAGGGTGAATAGTAGTCATCAGAAATATCTGAGCTACTAGTATCACCGACACTGAATTTATCACCTAGAGGGTCTATGTCAAATGTTGGGCCATCTCCACATTCAATGGGACGAGTGAGCTGCCCGTCATTTTCAGAATTATGGAAGGAAACCGGTGCAGCTGCAGACTCATTTTGCAAGGACAGTTGATGAGAATGGTTAGAGTCACTGTCAATGTCAGTGACATCGACAGTATCATTCTCAAAATGAGTTCTGCCATATTTCTCAAAATCTAGTTCGAAAGTGCGCTTTTTGGGCATTGGAGAATGACTTTGCTGATCAAAGAGAGTGACAGAATCAGATTCAAAATCTAAATCGTGCGCGTCAATGTTGACTTGTACAGATTCACATTCAGATTCAACATCTTTGCTATTGCTGTTAGTAATTGTACTGGTAGTAGATCTAGACTCATTAGTAATTTTGGACATTGCTGGATGATCAACATGACCCATGGCTAGATCATCACCATTACCTTCTGCTCTAGCACACGTACTAGTACTACTACTAGGCCTATTGGTACATAATCGGACATCATCATCGTCATGATTGTATGCAAAAGAATTAATAATATTGATATGTTCTTCAACCATCCTCTTCCTTTTCCTCCACAGTGACCAACGTGACTTTTGTTTATCCATTTTCCCCGTGTATAGCCTGGCGGAGGCTTACGGAAGAAAAGGTAGATTGAAGTGTCGATAGAATTTAGAAAGAGAATACCTTTAATACATTAATAAGAGTGAGTATCTAGGCCCTCCACAGTGCCAGTGATAGTGCCTCCTCCTATCAATATTCATTACATTATCAGTATCAGTTATCACTCAGGGCCAGAAAACACTACTGAAAAACGTTATGATTCTAATTTCTAGGTCGTAACAATTTTAATTAAGTTCAAGTTATTTTGCCTTTTGGTAAATCAAATGATATAATTTAGCCTACGAAAAGTGTGAACTCACGTTGATTAGCTTGAGAATTGTAGCTAGAAGAAGAAAAGTAGCTAGACGTCAATGAAATAACCACAATGTGAGAGCTGGCTGCAAAATACACCTGCAAATAGGACCGAGGAAGGATGAAGATGAACGTGACCGGACCGCTCTAGCGCTAGAAAAGATGTGTTGCCTACGCGGGAATCTAGTAGAAAAGATGGTCGGCGGCCTTGGCATGGCTCGGCTAGGCTAGCTAGCTCGAATCGAATTTGGCGGTAAAATTACTGTATTGTATACCCCCCTCCACAAACGGTTATTTGGGAACTTGGCCTGAAACTGCAAATGAATAACCCGAGCACAAAGGGCATTTCAAAACTTTTTACTGGGTTGACCGACCCCCTTCTCACACGCGGGATTTTTTTTTAAATGTAGTTCATTTTCAATTTAAATGAGGAACATCATAGGTTCACTGTCGTAGACAAGCAAGGGGCACAGGTGCTCATGGCCCTTGAACTTGTTCAGCCAGTAACAACAAAAAACAAAAAACAAAAAAACAAGAGCGATAGGAGAGATGAAGGAAATTGGGATTAAAAAAACTAGTTGAGAAAATATATATGTTTTCCCGTCTATTTTAACTATTCTTCTATCGAAACTTAAAATCGTACATAATTAATATTCAATTTTCTTTTGGGCCACGTCTTTGGCCATTCATTTTCATACTTTGTTCAGTCAATTTTCTCATTTTGCAATCGAGTCAAAGCGGCGTGATACAAATTCGTCATCTGCTCGATAACTTTTAGTGACGAATTTGAATGAGACTCTCGATCTTTAAAATGATTTCACAAAATCGAGTTTTGCAGCGGACCGCAAAGTGAGACGAAGTGGAATGAAATCTGATGAAAATGATTGGAGAATTAGTGTTGAAATTGATTGACCATTGAGGAAATCCCACTTGGGAGGGAACAGAATACTCAACTTGAACGCCCTTCAAACATATTATACAAATCAGGGCTTTAATATCATCCGCGAACACGAAAACACGTAAAAAAAGGGATACCTTAATTTCATGACGTAATTAAACTCCTCGTAGAAAAATTGAAATACCCCCTTGGGTGGAAGTTTATTGGGGGCTAGTCAACTCTGCCAAGAACCACAAATCCCTAAGTCAACACTGTGGTTTTGCCAGCGATCGTTGCTGGAGGGGAGAAGAAGAGATTGACAGATCGCCACAGTAACCCTGACTGCACGTGCCTGCACTGAGCTGTCTGCATTACAGTATTACGTATAATAATATTTATTGGAATGCATCTTCAGGTTGGCACGCGCCGCCATATTTTTTATGGGCTCTTTCATGTTCTGGCTTCAGGCTTGATAGTTTTTTTTTTGGTCTACAGGTGTCATGTTCACTTTAGTACAGAATACTCCTTTGGGATATTACAAATGTCGAAACCGTATACGGTCTCTCTCCCTCAGTCGTTGCCTATATACTCATGAAAGCCTTTTTCGGACTCGGCGATTCAAAT